CAAACACGAAAATCTGACCTGTTAGTACACAAAATACAAAAAGTCAGAACGATCCAACTATCAAATAAAACTTACCATATCCTGAAGAAATATTCATTGGAATCGTCATGTCATCTATGGGAGTCTCCTCGGTAAAATCTGCAGACTGCCAATCACCTCCAACCCATAACCATTCTTCTTGAAATCCATGGAGGGTATCGGGAACATCCTTAATCAAATCACCAAGTTTAAATCCAGTTCCCGATTTCGCGCCAGCAAAGAAATAGCAAGAGGGCCCAACAACTTTCATACTTGAGCTTTTCTTCAAAGTATAAACGCTCCTTATATCTGCGCAAGAAGGCAAACCGTATCCCTTCTCATGCGTTAACACCATTAACCCTAGAATCTTTTTCCAGCTGTTGGGGGTAATCTGACAGAGAGCTAAACCTCAATCCCTCAGATATTCAGTAATGAGATTCGACAAAAGAAATCTTAAACCCGACCTCAAAGACTCGACAAAAATTCCAACACAACCAGAAGGAGGGGAAGTAATTCTCTCACCCAGATATGGGGCAAATAATTTAACAGAAGATGGAACTCGGATATGTTCCTTGAGTAAAACTACATCTGCATCTGTTAAAATACTCGGTTCGCCCTCATAATCAATCGCAACATCAGGCCATCTCCTTTCCGGCCGTCTCCAATGATCTTCTAGTACCATGGCGTTCGCCTCTACTATCTCATCTTCCTCGACACTATTCGGTTTAACTTCGAGATGAACCACATAGCTCGGATCCCATCGGTAATATTCGTATGCTAATTCTACCAATTCGGAATCATGATAAATAGAAACCAAATCCGAAACCGTTCGATCTGAAGAGTCTCCATTGCCGGAACCTTTCGAAGCCATGATCCGAGTCTTACGTGCAAAATGAACAGAAATACAAGACGAAAGGGAAGAGGAATTGAAAAAAAAAAAAAAGTCCGAATGGATCTTACCCTTTGAACAACGAAAATGAAATGGATTTCGAAAAACGCGAGAAGTAAGCGCGGAATAGAATATAAATCACAAAGCTCTAGATACTAGATGGAATTCCGAAATCAAAAAGATGAAAAGCCCTCTCAAGCTAAGACTTCACCTATTTATAATCCAGTAATTCGATCTGTTGGATCAATCAATTAAGGGCGCGTGGATATCACGAAGAACGTTTCCCCATGCGACGCGACTGTTCACTTGTCAGAGCCTATCACATACGTGCCAGTTTAGGAAAATAACCGTTATTTGCCTTTATTCCCATACGGCGCATCATCATACGTAGTATTAATTAGTCCGACCGTTACGAAATATTGTCTAAGTGGAAAAGTGGAAACGACCAAACAAAATATCGACCAAAGTGTTTTCACTTCGGTTTTTCTCGTCATAGATCCCCTTCCACTCTGAAATATCAATGAGCCGACCAACATCGCTCCGAAGAGACATGTCAGATAGCATAATTTTTTTCTCTTATCGTTATCAATGATTACCACCATGTGTCATTATAGATACCGGGGGCCTCTCTGTTATCATTCGATCTGACAAAGCCCGATTATATGGAGATAGAGATTTCTTTAAATAATTAAGCGCATCATATTCAACATTGAGTCCACTTCCGTACAACTTTATACCGAGGTCTCACTTTGGTTCCAAGTGACATCCATATACCGAGGTACCGAGATTAACTATAACCGAAATCACCAAAGTCGATGCTGATATGCACATTCATTATACATCCGCATATCAATGCTCTTGACAAAATATCATGTGGGCCTTGCTGACATTGCCGCCCACCAAAAGTAGCTTTATGCGAAAAGTATTGTACATATCCCGATAACTGCACATAGAAAGTTACTATAAATAGCTGATTTCTACACTTGTACAAGGATCGAACTAGAGATATTCACTAATATACACGTAACATCTCATCACAGCTTTTCACCTCGGTTTACCTCAAACCGGGGTCATAGTTCTAGTTTTGCTATTTCATTTCCGTTAATTACATACGCGAATCAACCTAGCATCTATTAAAACACGTTGTTCTAATCCACATAACAACAATATCAACTTGTTGAAATTACACTTAAGCTCCTAAAATCTATTAAATTTACCAAAAAGAACCCTCAATCTAATTTAAATATCTAAAGCTAATAGGAAAAAAAAGCCCCCAAATTGTATTTGATAAATCAAGTGACGCAATTCTTCACCACCTGATGTGGATGACGGAAGAAAGGAAAAAAGAGATGGCTGTAGAGAAGGCCTGCGACGGCGGAGGTTGAAATTTGTGGTGGAGGCACGCCTGCGGGCGGACCGACTACTGGAGGAGGTGGCGGATGGGGAGGGATTGTTGGTTGTTATGGGATGTTTTTTCCGGCAGTTTTAGTGACGATGGAGGAAGACATTACGATGGAGGCGGTGCTGTGGGCAGAGGGACTGCCGGGGCAGGTGGCGGATTGGGTGGAGCTGTTGTTTGTGATAGCTTGTGATTCCGGCGGTTTCAGTTGACGACAGTAGTGGTCTTCCATGATTCGGGTGGCGTCAGCGGGTCCGGAGGCGAGTGGTGGTCCGACGGCGGCGGTGGTAGACATACTGTGTGTGTGGCGGAGTGGCTGCATCTTGTGTGTTTATGCGTGTGGTGTGAGAGAAGGAGAACCAGGTGGGTGGTTGTGGTGGTGGGGCCCGTAGGTGATGGGTGAATTTGTAATGTATAATGTCTAATTTATCCTTACTTAATAGTCAAATGTATAATTTGACTACTATATGTATATTTATTTATTATATTGCCATTAATGATTGACCATTAATTAAATGTTGACTGCATCCTAACCGTTAATATGATACATCCAATGATCGTAATTCATTCTTATTTCTTTCACTAGAGATCATTCTCATATGATCCCTTCTATATATATATATATTTATAAATACTATTCGTTTGTGTCTTCTATTATCTTAAAATAAAATCAATTATTTTTTTATATATTTTGTAACAAATTTTTTTTATTCAATCATATTTCAATATTAATTTTTATTTTATTATTTTTAAAAATATGATTTTATAACCAATAAAACCCTAAATTTCAATTATTATTTTTAGTTTAAGAGTATTTGTCAAGTGACGAGTGTTATAGACAGTATATTAATTTTTGTTGTGTAAACATGCATAATAATTGTTATTAATCAATGGAATAAGCCTACGAGTTTAGAAAGTATGTGTAAAAAAAATAAAAACACAGTAATCTCATTCAGAGTAAATATTCAATGTCAACCGTCAGATTTATTGATGATCTGACGGATGAAAATGGTGATCCGCGTCATCTCACGCCTTCATTTTTCACCGTTCGATTAATTAGTTATCGACGTATGAAAATGGTGATCCGCGTCAACATTTTCGATATAAATTGACACTGTTACGAGCTCAGTATCCATTCCATTTCAGATCCAAATTCACTCCTCTAAGCTTTCCAACTCACAAAAATGGCGGCAATTCTGGAGATGATGGATGCGTACGTGGTTGGCGTGCAGAATCACGCCCTTCTCGTGAAAGAGTTGGCGAAAAAAGGCCGCAAATTGGAGGAAGCCCCAACTACGGCCAGGTACAAGCGGCAGAACGACCACGCGGAGGCCAAGTATCGCCTCAAAGTGGCGGAGCAGGAGTTGGCGGCTCTTCGCGCAGCAATTGTCAGTGATAATGTCATATGGATTTCCAATGAGCAGCATCTTGCTGCTGTGGTGGAATTTGTGGCTGATGGTGAGTTTCAGGGAACCGTGTCCATTCCGCGTAACCTTGAAAATGGGCGAGAACTCCGTGAGCAAGCCAGGGCCCAGGATTTGGTTGCACAGTATGGAGACCTTTAAGTCTTGTTAGGTTTAATTCTCCCCTCAAGTCATGTTAGGTTAATTTGTGTGGCTAGCACGATTCTGTAATTCCTCTTATGGTCTTGTTGATGATAGGGTGGCAATAGTATAGTTAACAGTAGTCTTTGTAAGGAAATGAAATATATTGAAGCAAGCTGAATATTTTTTATGCTTTGATCCAAATGTCTATTCATTCAAATTATTATGTCAACTGCAATCCAATCTATCGTTTTAGTATCAATACATTAAATAAAGAAAATGAATTTCATTTTTTGGGAGATAATGATAAACGACAGATTATCTTTTGATGTTCAGTTCCTAAGATTGTTTAATTGAGACATATACGTTAGAATTGCGTGAGTTTCACTATTTTTTTGGGACATACGTTAAAATTGCGTGACTCTTAACCGTTTTTTAATCTTGTTTGTCTAATTGAAAATAATATGGTTGGGTATTGCTATTGCTCCTTTCCCCATCTTGGTGACAAAATAAGCAGATATGTTGAACTGACTAAATTAATGTGGTGAGGTTAATAGGTGGATACAGTTTAAGTTCGTTTGTGGGATTTCTTGAACTAAACCTTAGAAGGAATGGTTCGCTGTTATGGATCTTCTCCCACCGTGTTTTTCTGCTGAGTTTCTTTGTGTATTTGACATTTTGGGTTTCGTATAGCGATAAAACTTCAGATCTTGAGTTGTGATGCTGATTTTTCGATGACAGTGGACCATATTGTAAGCTTTTATATAAGCACCGTCTACTTAACTTTGAAAACATCTGTCCAAAGAGGGAAACCTCAAGAGAAATTGGGAATTAAAATTAACAGAAGTCATTTCTTTCTAGCATTATCTTGTTCTGGTGAGCAGAACTACCTTTGCTCCAGTGTTGATGGAGTTAATAATGTTGGTCGAAATTGCTGATTTGGGTTTACAGTTATGACTGTGTAATAGCATTTAAATTACTGATATAGTGAAGCTAAATCAATCTCTTGATGAACTTTTGATTTTTCTTTGAACCATATGGACATTTGATTCTGGCGCGGTGCCCCCAAAAGATGCAGGTAAATTTTCAAGAGCATTAATAGTGTGCAAGTGTGCGCCGGAAAATTCACCTCCAGAGCAGCCTTCTGATCATGCATTTGGATCTCTTGAGGTGTCTTTAAATTCTAAAACTTATGGCTTTAGATTTTTTATTGTGATTATTTGGTTGTAGATTAAATGCGTCCTATTAATTATGATTCCATTACAATGTGTGTGCGAATTTGGGACTTAAACTGTTTGCCCTTATTATCATGTCCCTGCAATAGTATTAGCTAAGTAAATGGTCTGATTATTCAGATTGTATTTATATCATCTTTTAGTTTTCTCCATGAAATTGATTTTTTTTAAGCAAAATTTGACCATAATTCATTAAAAGAGTCTTTGCGTCGGTAGAGTTGTGTGAATGAAATGGCAATTATAACTTGTGCGCAAGGTTCGCTGTTTCCGATCAGTTGATTGCAGTAGTACTTCCCACATCATGTTTCTTACAGTAGTCTCATTGTGGTTAATTTGATTCAGATCCAAGATGAGATTTCATTGATGACCATTTTGAAGGGAGCAAACTCTTTTCTACCTCAAGTGGTCCTAGCAAGTACAGTTTTGGCTCTTATATACCCACCCTCATTTAGTTGGTTCACTAACAGGTGTACTGCTATTCTTTGCATAATTATTGTAAGCATGATGCCAATTCAAGGCTTAATTGCTGAATATGATGAGTTGAGAGGATCAAAATGTGTAATACCGAAGTGGGGATGGTCTTTACGATGACTGGGAACTGGGGAAAAAAGATATCATATGTTTTGTGTGACTGTTAGTGTGGGCTAAGATGATAAATTACAAGGAAAATGTCATATTATTTGAACCCTTTGTGCCATTCTAACACTTTACATAATTCGGCTTTCATATACAGGTACTATGCTCCAGCATTAGGGTTTTTGATGTTTGCAGTCGGAGTTAATTCAAGCGAAAAAGATTTTCTCAAAGCTTTCAGTAGACCAGCAGCCATTATTGCTGGCTATATTGGTCAATTTGTTGTGAAGCCCCTTCTTGGGTACTTTTTTGGCACAATTTCAATGACTATATTCGGTCTTCCAACTTCCTCAGGTAAAAGATGTTCCTTGTTAGACTATGTCTTGAAAATCAAATAAAAGGCCTAACTTCCATTACTTTGCTGGTCAGCTGCTGGGATTATGTTAACTTCTTGCGTCAGTGGTGCCCAGCTCTCCAATTACGCCACTTTTCTAACAGATCCTGAAATGGTGCCACTTAGCATTGTAATGACGTCAATATCCACTGCCACCGCTGTTTTTGTGACCCCATTTTTGTCCTTATTGCTTATCGGCAAAAAGCTTCCGGTTGACGTGAAAGGGATGGTTTCCAATATCCTCCAAATCGTGGTCACTCCTATTGCAAGTGGATTACTTTTAAATAGGTCTGTTTGCTACCTTTATGGAGATAATTAAGGAAACTTACACATGAGGATTAGTCTAATTTCTAAACACCCCAATTATCTTTTATCTTTTTTATTTTTCTTAATAGTCTAATTTCTAAACACCCCAATTATCTTTTTTATTTTTTATTTTTCTTAATAGTTATAAGGGGACTGATGGTGGGTAATCTAATTTTCTATGAAAATGCAAGGTGTAGATATGTAATTATGTATTAACCAATGCAGTGCAACCCCCTTACAAGTGATAAGTAGCACTTGAGCTTCAAATAACCATTGTCCCAATTTTTCTTTTAATATTGCAGATAACCTCTTACATTTTTGTCCTTGGCTGTCAAGTTATATCTAGAATTCTTTGTAATTAAAACATGTAAGTAAATTATTTTTGTATTTTGACCAAACCTCAGAGGCAAAGTTTCCATATTTAACCCATATTGGATTGTATACTTTTAGTTCGAATCACATGCTGCACCAACAGCTTCACTTACTTCATCCGACTCGTGCTTGCAGGTTTTTTCCTAATGTTTGTAATGCCATCCGACCATTTCTGCCCCCGCTTTCGGTTTTCGTGACTGCTCTCTGTGTTGGTGCCCCACTTGCGATCAACGTGGAGTCAGTGATGTCGCCTTCTGGGGTTTCAATCCTCCTGCTGGTGATAGCATTTCATCTGTCGGCTTTCATTGCGGGGTATTCTCTCACGGGTCTCATTTTCCGTGACTCCCCTGACATCAAAGCTCTGCAAAGAACGTTATTCTACGAGACAGGTGATTATAACGTTGACATCGTTAAATTGGTGAAGGATGGTAATTGTTAATTGATCCAAATTAACCAGCCACTTTTTTTTTTTTTTTCCTTTCTTTTAATACTATTATTATAGGCATGCAGAGCAGCCTTTTGGCTCTACCGCTTACAAATAAGTTCTTTCAAGATCCACTCGTCAGCATTCCTCCTGCTATTTCGGTAAGTCGATAAGTGATAACTTTATTATGTATCTGACCGAGAATGCATTGGCTGCTGATGTTTGGAGCGCGTCATTCTTTTGCATCTCAACTTACTGCTTTTGGGAAATAAAACCCATGCGAAGATTATGGGTATTTTGTTCAATCTCGCATACTGGTATTATTTTATCATAAAACAACTTTTTCCTTTGATTCTGCAGACGGTAATAATGTCGTTGATGGGATTCTCTCTCGTAATGCTCTGGGCCCACAGGAAACAAACTGCTCGCCAGTGAGATGAAGGTATTCGTACCCCAATCGGGTCTGGTTTTACTGTTTTCATAGAGTTTTAACTTTCTCGATTGTGGAGAGGTGTGTACACTAGCATACAAATGATTCTGGAAGATTCATAAATGGTGAAAAGGTTTTTAATTGCTCGGTAGAAAGATGTTGTAGTAGTAACATTCGAGCAAAGAAAAATACTTCAAAATATACTGCAACTGTTAGTTGTATAATTTCTCGTTTGGTGTTTCAACAGTGTATACAGACGTGGATATGTGTTTTCCAGCCAATGTGTAATGTTTGTTAGGAGTATCAAGAACCATTGTGTTATTTTGTGTGCTGACATGTTGAGAAGATACTATTGAAGCAGGGTCTAAAGTTTAACTGACAATACTCTTTCATTTACTACCTTATGTCGTCGTATAAATCTTACGGCTTCGATTGGATATAAGTTTTTTGTTTGTTTTGTCAAGATTTTTCTCGTTGAAACGGAAATGAAGCAAAATTTTTTGACAAAATTATTCATTTTTTTTCTACATCTCATTAGCAGTTAGCACAATTAAAAATAAAAAGCAACGCTTAACGTATATTTTCCAACAAATATCATTATTCATTCATTTAGGTATTTTCACGTATAAATAGATGTAATAACTGGGCATCCATTGTAGCCACAGCTTCACATCCCACAACCTATTTATATACATGAATGAATAACTGAGCATCCATTTTTTCTCACAGTGTACAACCATACTAATCTAAAAAATTTCTTCATTATGTATTTCAAATTTAATTGAACATCAGACACCAATGTTCATTTAAAAATGCCACCATTGTAGCCACAACTTCACATTCCCACAACCTGCTTATATACATGAATGAATAATTGGGCATCCATTTTTTTCAGTGTACAACCATACTAATCTAAAAAATTTATATCGTGTGAAACTACTGCGGCATTGCCATTGTGAATAAGAGTTGTTCAGTTAGACATGGCCGCGGGTCGGCCCGCTGTCCCGGCCCGCAACTGGCCTGAAAAGCTTCAGTTCCGAAAACTGGGGCCATGCCCTTGCGGTTTGGTCTCGGTTCACACATTTTTTTTTTGTCCCGGTCGGGGCAGTTCACGGGTCTGGCCCTTGGTTTTTTAGCGAGTCGGTCAAAGATTACCCATGGGAGGCCCACCGTCCCGGCCCGTTGACATGCCATCTCTATGTTCAGTTTAACAAGCTAAGCTTTGCAGGGAAAAGACGAGTTTATCTAACTGTGACTAAAAACATACACATAAAACAACCAAGAGCTTCATCAGAAATATACAATTGTTCAAGGTATAGCAATTTCCACATAGAACAAGCACTGACCATCTATGGTCATGAGGTCGGTGTGAGAGTTCGTGATTTGCAAGTGAATTTGGGGAAATGATTATGAATTGATTTTCGGAATTATGAGAAATCTTTAAAAAAGCCACATAATTTATACCATGTTGGAATTAATAAATGGGTAAATTGCGCCAAACCCCCCTGTATTATACGAAATCTGCGTCTTATCCCCTGTATTTTAAAAAATGCGTCATACCCCCTTGTATTATACTTTTGATTGCGCGTTATCCCCTAAAATCGTATAATACAAGGGGGTATGACGCATTTTTAGGGGATAACGCGCAATCAAAAGTATAATACAAGGGGGTATGCCGCATTTTTTAAAATACAGGGGGATAAGACGCAGATTTCGTATAATACAGGGGGGTTTGGCGCAATTTACCCATTAATAAATATAAGATAAAATCCACCTCATATGACACCTCACAATGTGGCAGGGCTTATGGTACCGTAATAGGCACCATATAATTTCTGTCCACAATCCATTGAGTTCATTCAAATAAATAAATAAAATAAAAAATAAATAAAATAAAAATAATATATAGGCCACATAGAAAACAACTCGAAATATATCCATTGAGTTCATTCAAAAAATAAATAAAAAAATAAGCAAAATAAAAATAATATGTAGGCCACATAGGAAATAGACTCAACTTAAGAAAATATATCATTCAGTACAAGAGCAAGTGGACTGAATTTTGTTGATATGACAATAAGAAAAAGAGACTCAATCTAAGCAAGAAAAGTTGTATATGTATATAGTTAATAGGAAAAAGTACACTTTTCTTTCCTAACTATTCAGAAATTTAAATTTTACCTACAAAAAAGCAAAGTTTGGTAGGCAAATTGCTGGGAGAATTGGTTTAGGTGGTTTTCGTGGCTTGAGTATCGATCCAGCTAGGCGGTTGGCAGTGGAGACGATATAGGATATTATACTGGACCCGGTTTAATGGATAAAACGGATACATATAGGAAGATAAGCCCACTAAGGCGTCTAAGCCCAACAATATGGGCCAAACTCATATTGAGCCCACAAAGGTATACTCCCCCTATAAAAGGGGGGCCAAGGTACCTTATTCTAATATCCTCTCCTCATTACATTACTACACTTTCTCTCTCTTGATCTGAGCACTGACTTAAGCATCGGAGGCCCGACGCCGGGGCCACCCCCGGCGTTGGGTTCTGCAGGTACGGAGGCCGGTTCGAGTTGAAGGAGCCCGGGTGAATCTTATTCACTTCATTGGCGCCGTCTGTGGGGACCCGTCAAAAAGTCAAACGGAGTTCCGACTAAAAAATTTGAAAAACCTC